CGAGGGTCGGAGGTGGGGGGGGCTTGGCTGCGCTCAGCCCTGCAGTGCGGAGGTGGCAACAGGTTCCAGTTTGTCCTGCTGCTGGCGCAGCGGGCGCCGCCGGCGCCGGGCAGTGAGCACTCACTTTCGAGATTGAATCCCCCTCCTGAACGCTTTCTCCCGGGGTGGGTGGGGGACTTGGCAGCAGGGGTCTGGAGCTAGGTGCAGGGGAGCCACTCTTCAGGCGTTGGGAGGCGCAGACCTCCCACCATCGACCGCACAACCTACGTGGTGGGGGTGGGGGGGGCTTCTTGGAGTTGCCTCCTTCCTCATCCTCCTCTTCCCAGCGGGGCTCTGGTCACCTCCCCCTCGGGAGCTCTCTCCAGAAAGTCTGCTCAGGCACCTCAGGAACTCCTACCTCCTGCGGGGTTTGGGATTCCTCCCTCCAACCACCCTGAGCCCCCACGCCAGGGCATGTATCTCTCCACCTCTTTGTCAGGTGGGGTGTCAGGCCAGACTCCCCAGGCTGACACGTGGCAGAATCCCTTGGTGCCTTCAACCCCTGCCCACCCCAACCTCCTGCCCACAGCTGCAGCAAGTCTGGATGGAGCCCCCAGGCTTAGGGCCTATGGGCAGGTGGCAGCCCACCTCTGCCTCTGGGAGCTAGGATGTGAGGGAAAGGAAGTGCCCCCTCCTCTGCTCTGGCCCCACGTGGGCATTGCAACTTCAGGGCACTAAGGTCTGAGCAAAGAGGAGGGAGATGGCAGGCTGGCCCTGGAGACAGAAGCCTGCCCAGAGTGGGACACCTTGAGGGGCCTGGGAAAGGACAGGCTGCAGAGGAGGAGGCCCCGGGCTGGAGGAGGGGGAACAGCCCAGCTGCCTGAGGCCCCTGGATGCAGGCGGTGGGACTCTTCCCAGAGACCAGGACATGCTGGGCTGGGGCCAGAGATGAGTCCCAGGCCGGTGGCCCACTAGGCTGGGAAAGGAGGGAGGGAGGGAGGGGGTAACTGGAGGCCCCTTGGAGGTGACCTCTCTGTACCCTGCCCTCTCCCCAGCATTACCACCCTAGTTTTCTCATCTTACTCTGGTTCATGGGAAGGGTCTGGCAGTGGCCCTGGACTGAACTATCCTAAACAGTGGCCTTCCAGTGGCTTTGTACCCTGCACGCCTTAGTTATATGTCTTGTGGTACCCACCCTGTGTGCACAGCTCTGCCTTCTTTTACATAGTTCCTTGGGGTACAGTCCCCAAAGTGGCCAGAGGGTGCGCATAACCAAATTTATTTCCGAAAGGGCAGTACCAGCAGAGAACCAACAGGGAATCATTTAGCAACCAGCAGTAGAGCAGCGGGCCTGTTTCACAGCACCCTTGCCAGCATTGGTTGTTCTCATTTTGAGAACATTTTCCTAATGTAACAGTGGGAAGGGTTACCTTGTTTTCCATCATCTGTTACCTTGTTTTTTCAATTAACTTTCCTTCCATGTCTGGGGTTGAACCTTCCCCTAAATGCCTTGTACCAGTTACATTTCCTCCTTCATGCAGTGTCTTCTGGTTCCTTGCCCATTTATCTATAGGAGTCTTGACCTTTTGATTCGTTTGTATGCACTTTATCTTATCTTTTGTACATTTTCCTTCAACTCTGCTATTTGCTTTAGACAGGTTTTAAGCAGAGAAGGGCCATAGAGCCAGACTTTTCAGAACCACCCCCCCAACCTCATTTCATTGTCTCAGCACTTATCACACCCAGTGTTATCTTGTTCAATCTCCCTGTTTATTACTGACCTGTCCTGCTGGCCTGGGAGTGCCGTGCAAGCAGGGACCTGGTGTGTCCTGCCTGTTCATCATCCTGTGTCCGTGGAAGGTATGGAGGCCACCAGCCTTTGCTGAGCAAATGATCTGCTGCAGGGCAGGGCTGAGGGGGTTTGGGGCAGAGAGGCCTGGAGGTAGGGAGGGTGCTCTGGAAGCCATGCTGGGGACCTGGGCAGTGCAGGGGGCAGAGGGAAAAGTACAGATGTAAGAGACATTTAAGTAGAAACTACTTGCCTCCAATCAACTAGGGAGGGGGCAAAAGGAGGGGCGGGGATGACTCCCAGGATCAATAAGGTGACAAGAACAGAGCACCCCAGTTTAGGGCTGAGAGTGCAGAGCTCCTGGGGACTTTTAAGCCTTTGGCCTGGCCTGTGTGGATGAAGCTATCGGGGTGCCCAAAAGCCACCCTCTGCCTGCTCAGCCCTCCAGCTAGCCTTGGGCAGAGTTCTGGACCAGAAAGCAGCCATGGTTTCTGGTCCTGCTTCCTCCTCCCCTCTGTGATTTCACTGGCATCCTGTGGGAGCCAAAGGTGGTAGCTATGCTGAGCCTGTTATATAGATGGGGCCACTGAAACCCAGTTAGGGGACATGACGGTCCAGGGTCACCCCAGGTGAGGAGGACTGGAGGCAGCCTCTGGGGCAGGGGCACTGGGCTCTTGTCCCCACCCCTCCCCCTGCCTCCAGGGGCCTGACTGGCGCCGGCCAGGGGAGCTGCAGCTGGTCCCCTGCTGGGCCCCTGACCTGCCCTTGG